AAAATAGCCTCTGTACCCCCCCCCCATCCTCTCCGCCCCAAGAAAGGTGTTTTTTTTTTTTTTTTTTTTGAAACAGGGTCTCCCTGTAGCCCCGGCTCTCCTGGAACTCTATCTATGTAGACTAGGCTGGCCTCGAACTCAGAGATCCTCCTGCCTCTGCCCCCTGAGTGCTGGGACTAAAGGTATGGACCACCACACCTGGCCTAAGAAGAGCTTTTAAGCTAGGCAATTGTATTACTGTTTTAATGTTTTGAATAGGCAATACAGTCGTTGCAGAAGGATCAAAAAAAATACAGTTCTAAGTCTCCCTCCCCACTCTGTTCCCCTTCCTCCTACTTCCTGTCTCTGATGCCTCCTCTCCAGATTAATAGTGTCTTGTGTATTCACCCATGCCTTCTGTGTGCAGATACAAGTAAACATGAGTATATAGCCCGATCTCTCTTCCCCCTTATATTTTACAAAACATTAAGACCATTTTGTTATTTGCCTTTATAAGACTTGGCTGCTGCTTTGATATAAAGTCTATCACAAAGTGAATCTGGATGACTTAACCGTCTTTCATCTTTGGAGAGATTCTTTACATTGAGAGTTCAATTTGTTTCAATGGTAATTTCTTATCAAAATGGATTTGAGGCCAAACCACAGCCCTGCCGAGTCTTATGTAACCAACAGAAGCAGAGCCTTCACCCAGCAGCCATATGTTGTAAGGAACGTTGCCAGAGGACAGCGCATGTGGTTCTCAAGCAAGGAGTTAGCTCTGAGCGCTGTCTAACAAAAGGTTGTTGTGTATGACATACTATTTTTTCATTCAGCTGCTGCTTTTTTCTTTCCTTTGTTACCATATATTAATTGTATAAAATGATGGGCTTTGTGATGGTGTTTTCATGCATCTCTATGATGCACATTCCTGTTTGTTACTCTCTGTTGTCTGTCCATCCATCATCGTCCCCCTTTGCCAGTCCTCTTCCTGTTTCCCAATAGATGTGTGACATCCTCCTGTTCTTTTTTTAAAAAAATATTTTATTTATTATTATATGTGAGTGTATTGCCCGCATGTATGTAAGTGCACCCATGTTGTGCAATGCCTGTCGAGCTCAGAAGAAGGCATTGGATCCTCTGGAACTGGAGTTATGGACAGTTATTAACTGCCATGTGGGTGCTGGGAATGGAACCCAGGTCCTCTGCAAGAGCAGCCAGTGCTCTTTACTGCTGAGCCATCTCTCCAGCCCCATCCTCCTGTTCTTAGTGCTCCTTGAGGGTGACGTAAAGGACAGAGTTGTGAGAAGTGTGTGGCTCACCACTAAGTAGGCTCTCTGGAGAGAACCTGAGCCCATCCCAAAGCCACTTATTCTGAGCATGCTGCTTGCCTTTGTTGTCCCTTAGGTACTGGCGGAGGACACTGGGCATGCAAGTCCGCTATGTGCAGCACGAGGACTATCAGTTCTGTTACTCCTTCCGGGGCAGGCCAGGGCACAAGCCGTCCATCCTCATGCTCCATGGATTCTCAGCACACAAGGATATGTGGCTCAGCGTGGTCAAGGTGCACTTCAAGCTTCTCCTGTCTCAAAAGGAAAAGGGCTCTGCTTGCATATGACATCACAGCAGTGGTAGAAACAGAAGGGAGCTAGAAACACATTTCAAGTTCAATCTTTTTTTAAAAATGTTTTTGATTGATTTATTTTTATGTATATGAGTGCTTCCCTCATGTATGAGTTCACCCATGTCATGCAATGCCCACAGAGGCCAGAAGAGGGAGTCATAACCCCTGGAACTGGAGCTACAGATGGTTATTAATCACCTTGTGTGTGTTGGGAACCAAACATGGGTCCTCTGCCTGAGCAGCCAGTGCTCTTAACCACTGAGCCATCTCTCCAGCCTCTTAAGTTCATTCTTAAAATTAACAAAATATATTATTCTTGTCACACAATTAAGACGAGTAGTAGTTCTAAAAACCGTGCCCAGAAATCTCACCTTGGAAGTACTTTTGGGAGTTTCCAGTATAGCCTTGCCTTGAGAATACTTGTATGGGTTTCCAGCACAGCTCTGTCTCAGAACTGCTGTGATGATTGAGACCGAGATTTTTCAAATGCATTTGTTCTTTTATACAAACCCAGGTTTTCTCTTTTCCTTTCCCTGCCTCAGGTCTCCCTTTCCTTCTGCTGTTTCTTTTTCTTTTCCTTAGTCATTTTGAGACATAGCCTTGATCTGGCAGCCTTTCAGGATAGTTTTCCAACTCACTGTCTGTGCTGGTTTACTTGTGTAGCCCTTTGCCGTTCTTGGTAAGAGTGGCCAGCTGGTGAAGGCTGAGACCTGCAGGGATCTTGAGGGCAGCATCCCGGGATGAGAGTTCACAAATGCCACCTGCCCCAGGAGGAAAAGCTTGTGTGTCCTTGGGTTACTTGTGTTATTTCCAACCTTTAGCCTTCATGAATCTGTCACCTCTTATCCCAACTGCAGATAAGCATCTTTGGTAACTGATACTTCTCAGTTTCCTGGTTAAAAGTGATACATTTTAAAAATTTTATATGTATGAGTGTATTGCCTGCATGTATGTAAGTGCACCTGTGTAGTGCAATGTCCATGGAGGTCAGAAGAGAGTGCCAGATTCTCCTGGAACTGGAGTTACAGACGGTTGTTAGCCACCATGTGGGTGCTAGGAATCGAACCCGGCTCTTCTGCAAGAGCTGTTTGTATTCTTAACTGCTGAGCCAGCTCTCCAGCCCCAAAAGTGGTGCATTTTTTAAACAGGAAAAAAGAAACGTGATTTTGAGAATAATGATCTTAAGAATTAGACCCTAATGAGGAAAAAAAAAAAAAACTAGTTAAAACTAGCATTATGATTTAGAGGAGAAAACATTGGTCCTATGAGCCCTGGCCAGCTCCAAAGCCCTGGGAGAACTGAACCGTCTCTTCTAATGCCAAGACAACAGCCATATACCTGGAGGAAGTGTGAAACAGGAAGGAAAGGTAGTATTGACCAAGCAGTATTAAAGTTTCAAGACTGGGCCTGTGAGATGGCTCAGCACATACACCACCTGCTGTATAAGCTTAAGGGCTTAAAGACACTGGAAAGCTCAGAAGCATAAATCTCAGGGGTAGGTGGGCTGGGTCACTTGGTGGAGAGGGGATAGCGCCACAAAAAAATGGACAGTCATGTTTTGTATACTGCGTACTAACAGTCTGGGTCTGTGTCCTTAGTTCCTTCCAAAGAACCTGCACTTAGTCTGTGTGGACATGCCAGGCCATGAAGGCACCACTCGATCTTCCCTGGATGACCTGTCCATAGATGGGCAAGTCAAAAGGATCCATCAGGTAAGCGGGAGGCTTCACCAGAACTGACCAGACTGCTTCTTCCCATCACGTGCCCAGCCCTGGAGAGTAGGCACACTGCCTTGAGGTCCATCCCCAGTGTTCTAGCTCCAAGAGATTGCCAACAAAATGGTAGGCCAGGGATGTCCGTGGTCAGCTGAGGAGAGCCTGGGCTTATTACAGATGGTTTTTCCGTTAAGCCTATTGCATTTTTGTTTGTTTTTGTTGTATAGCCCAGGCTGGCCTAAAACTCCGTGAGTAGCTGAAGATTACCTTGTACTTATGATCTTCCTACCACCACTTCCCAAGTCCTGGGATTCATTACAGGGGCCTGTCACCATAGCTGATTTATGTGGGGCTAGGGCTCAGACCCAGGACTTTGTATACACTAAGCACTCTACCAACTGAGTTATATCTACAGTCCATTTTGTACTTGTTTGTGCAAAAAGTAATCTGGGCAACTTCTCAACTCTTCGAAAAGTTGGTTAAAATTCTGCAAAACTCTATCCTTCTATGGAGGTCTATTGTTCTGTTCCCCAGCAATGGCTCCTCTACTTGGTTAGAGATGGTATTCTTTATGTTTTGTTATATTTAGTGTCCATCACTAGTTCTCTCTGGTTGTTCTTCTGAGGTTCTGAATACTCATGAGTGCTTTCATGATTGAATAGTCCATAAGTTTCAGGTTCATATTGGGAATTTTCTCCAAGTAAGGACGTTTCTGTCTTGACTGTTAAGCTGTGTATTTTAATAAGGACAAACCCTTGCCTCTGGCTCTCTGCTGAATCCTCAGCAGCTACATAATAAATATTTTTCCTGTGATGGATAGATTGGTAGATAGCTGATTAGATATATAGATGGCTGGAGAGGGCTTCAAGTTATGGCTATCATCAAGCTATGGCCCTGGGCTGTAATTCACTTGTCACCTGTTTTGTAAGCTAAGTTCTGTTGGGACTAGCATTCCCTCACTTAGGTATTGCCTCTGGTGGCTTTTGTGACACAGTAGCAGAGTTGCCTAGTTACAGCAAAGAACAGCTGATCCACAGAGCAAAAAACATTGACTCCTTGGGCCTTTATAGAATGGTTTGTTTACTAAAAGGAACTCTTATTGGTTTCATTCACATAAACGACCCTATAGTCACTTGTGCCTGGTAAAGCAAGCTCCATACATGCCAGTGACTCATCTCGATAATGGGTCCAGTAGCGTGTCACACACCCTTGTCCATGGTCACTTTCAGTTGTATGAGGTGGTGGTGGGGTGTCTGCTCTGCAATCATTGCTGACATCCCAGCTGTAACCATGCCTCCTTTTCCTTCCTAGTTTGTAGAATGCCTTAAGCTGAACAAAAAGCCCTTCCACCTTATAGGCACCTCCATGGGAGGCCATGTGGCTGGCGTCTATGCTGCTTATTACCCATCAGATGTCTGCAGCCTGTGTCTGGTGTGCCCTGCTGGTGAGTTTCATGGCTACAACTACTTTATGAGTGACTTGAACTGTACAGTGTCTGCTATGGCTGCTTTAAAAAAAAAAAAATCATCTTTCTGGTGTGAACTTTTGAGATACTCAATGTTTCAGTGAGAACTCTGACCAAATAATAATTGTATAATCCCAGTTATAACCAGCCTGGCATAATATGTAGAGTCAGCTCTATTGCACAAAGAATTGGAGGTAAGTAATTGAAGTGTGCACAGTGCTGTGAGGCATGGCACATACATACTCAGAGTGCAATGCTATAGTTAGCTTCCAACATTTATCAAGTCCCCAAGAACCAAGATCTTTTTCTAGATTTAGTTCTCACAATACCCTGTGTAGTATAGGCATTATTTATTTTATGTTCTCCTTTTTCTTTTATTTCTTTTTTTTTTTTGCCAAAACCTAGACCTTTTTTCATTACAAGACCTTTTTGAAATTCTTATTAACATATATTCATTGTACAAGTAATGAGTTTCATACAGACATTTTCATGTAATTGTATCATGTACTAGTTCTCACTGGTCCCCTTCTTTTTCCCAAATAGCCCCATTACAAGATCTTAAAAGGGGTGCTAGAGAGATGGCTCAGTGATTAAGAGCACTGGCTACTCTTGGAGAGGACCTAGGTTTGGTTAACAGCACCCACATGGTGGCTAACAGCTGTCCGTAATTCCAGTTCCAGGGATCTCATGCCCTCTTCTGACCGCCTCAGGCGTTAAGACACGGGCACACTTACAGACCTGTAGACAATACACTCAAACAGATAAAATAAAAATAATAAAATGTATTTTTTAAAATTCTGCTACTTCTCTAGGGGTGGGCAGTGGGAAGATGATTAGGAAAGAAAAAATGTGAAGGTTGACTGAGTGAAGAAAAGGAAATTTCATCACTTTATCATTTGTCAAGATGTGATGTTTTATATTAAAAATTCCATTTGCACGTAAAACAATTATTTTTTTATTTTTGCAGTGCTGAATATCAATCCAGGGCTGCATACAGGCCAAACAAGGGCTTTGCTACTGAGCTGCACCCCCAGATACTAAATTAGTTTATCTATAAATGATGTTTTAGCACAACTTCTAAAGGATATTACTGACAATTCTGAGGCTTTGAAAAATAACTAAAAAGCTTTTAAGACAGTTTCATGACAGGGCTGGAAAGATGGCTCTGGGGTTAGGAGCACTGGCTACTCTTGCAGAGGACCCAGATTTGGTTCCCAGCACCCATGCGGTGGCTCACAACTGGCTGTAACTCTAGTTCCAGGGGGATCTGACACCCTCTTCTGGCCTCTGAGGGCATTGCACACATGATTAAATGCAAAGAAGCCAGTATGAAACAGCTTGGATCTGGACAATTCTGGCATGTTCTAGGATTATTTTTTTCCCTCTGAATTAGGTTGTGTATGGCTGGCCTTCATTCCCTGGGTATATAACTCAGGCTAGCCTCAAATTTGCAATTCTCTTGCCTCAGCCTCCTGCGTAGACAGGATTATAGAGCATACCATCTCACCAGGCTTTTCTGGATACAGGTTTATAAAGTGGTGTGTGTGGGGGGGGTAGTGCATGCCTGTATACATGTGTGCATGCATGTGTGTAGACACACTTGTGTGTGCATGAGTACATGTATGTGCATCTGCATGTGGAGGCCCAAAGTTGACATGTGTCTTCCTTGATCGCCCCACTTGATTTCTTAAAGCAGGGTCTCTTATTGAACCTGGAGCTTGCTGGTTCTAGCTAGTTTAGCTAGCCAGCCTACCCTGGAATCTCCTATCTATGTCCTGAGTGCTGAGATTACAGGTGGCCACCATGCCTGCCCAGCCTTTACATGAGTTCTGGGGATCTGAAATCCCATTCTCATGCTTATACAGTGAGCGCTTTTGTCCACTGAGCCATTTCCCCAGCCCTGATGTGAGAGCGTCTGTAGAATAACCAATGTTAATGATGTTAGTGCTTTTTTTTTTTCCTTTCAAGACAAGTTCTCATGTAGTCAAGGCTGGCCTCAAACACCTAAAATTTCTGTCTCTACACCATGTTCTGTGATTACAGGCTTCTTTCCAAAATCTAGCTCTTTGGCTAAGTTAAATGCCAAGAAATCACCCCATGTTGGAAGTAAATTTACTCTTTCCTGACTGTATAACATTAGTTCCTGGGGCCTCTTGTGTTGTGCTACAATCTTCAGTCTCGAAGGGAGTGAGTCAGTCTCAGCTGTCACCTAGTGCTCTTCTGAAAGAAGGGGGCCTGTATACTGCAGACAGACTTACACTGTCCATGGGCTTGTGTATTGGCCCCAAAGAAGAGAGTACCTCACTGGGTGGTGGGAGGTGGGAGGTGGGGTAGCAGCCTGGTACTGCAGCCTTGGGCTTCCTCTCCGTTATGTGCTCCCTTTGATCATCTCGAAATAATGCAGGTGTGGAAAGGGCACAAATATGTGGCTTTCTGGTGCTTGTCATCCTCTGCCATACAGAATCCCCTTGCAGCTTGTTAAAATTCTGATTCTGATTCAAGCAGCTTCAGAACAGCCTAAGTTCCTACCTTTTTTTTTTTAATGGTCTCTCAGTACTCCTGGCTTATGGCTATAGATGAACAGTCAGCCCTAAAAAATGTGTGTGTGTGTGTGTGTGTGTGTGTGTGTGTGTGTGTGTGTGTGTGTTTTAAATCCAGGCTAGTTAAGAATTTATTATATAGCCCAAGCTGGTCTTGAACTTGTGATCCTCCTGTCTCTGCCTCCTGAGTGCAGAGAATGTATTATGTACCGCCAGGCTTGGTCCCAGTCCTAAAATATCTTGGAGGAATTTTTTTTTTTTCTGTTTTTCTCAAAATACAGTTTTTACTTTGCGCAAGGATGGCAGTATCAATTAAAAAGGAATCTCCTCAGAGGCTGGAAAGATGGTTCTGAGATTAAGAGCACTTGCTGCTTGTGAGGAGAACCCAGGTTTGGTTCCCTGCAATCATATATATGGTGACTGCAGTTCCAGGGGCTCTGATGCCCTCTTCTGGTTTTGGTAGGCACTGCATGCACTTAACATAAATGCAGGCAAAACATTCATACACATAAAAATCTTTTTTTAAAAAACAAAGTCTTGCTGGGCATAGTGGTACACGCCTTTAATCCCAGCACTAGGGAAGCAGAGGCAGGCAGATCTCTGTGAGTTTGAAGCCAACCTGGTCTACATAGCAAGTTCCAGGCCAGCTGGGGCTACAGGGAGACCCTGTCTCAAAAATATCAAAAGAAAATAAAAATTAAAAAAAAAAAGTAATTCCCCAGTGAAAGAAACCTTTGGCTGTTTAAAAAAAAGAAATCTCAGGCTGGAGAGCAGCTAAATGATTAAGAACACTGGCTGTTTTTGCAGAAGACTCGGCTTCAAATCCCAGCACCCACATGGCAGCTAGCAACTGTCCGTAACTCCAGTTCCGGGGGATCTGATGGCCTCTTCTGTCCTCTGTGGACATTGCATGACACAAGTGTATTTATATACATACAGGCAATATACACATACACATAAAATAAAAATTGAAAAAAAAATCTCCCAGTGAAAGAAACCTGAATTATATTAACTTTGGTTTGTTATTCTAAGTTCCTTGCTTAAGTGGAGCTTGGTAAGAAGGCAGGTGTACTGTCAGGCTCTTCTGTTTTACATCCACAGGCCTGCAGTATTCAACTGATAACCAGTTTGTACAACGGCTCAAAGAGCTGCAGGAGTCCGCCGCCATACAGAAAATTCCCTTGATCCCATCTACCCCAGAAGAGATGAGTGAAATGCTCCAGCTCTGTTCCTATGTCCGTTTCAAGGTGCCCCAACAGGTACAGTGTTTTGGCAGCCACACCTCTCCCCTCCCTACAGCCTCCAGGGGGACTAGGACCTTCCCTCTTGCATAACCTCTTTCATCTACTTGCTGACTCCTTTCTGTCTGCTTCCATTTATTCAACATGTGCCTATGATATGTCAGATGTTGTACTGAGCACTGTGGTAAATACCTAAGACAGGGAAGTCCCCTGGGCAGATCTAGCTGAATGCAGCAGTCAAAAAGTTACAGATTGAAATGAGTTTTTAGAGGTGAAGTGAAGATGGTGTTGAGATTGAAAATAGGGAGGTAGAAGTAGCTCTGATAAGTCATGTTGAAGGAACACGGATGAGTGGAAAAAGCGTGCATAGGCTCTTGGCACTGGAATGAGGACAGGTGGCTGGAGCCAGAGAGTAAAGGAGAAAGGGTTTCAATGAAGATGGAAAGGGACACGGCTAAGTCACATTCTCAATTTTAAAAAATCATGACTGTACTCTTAAAATGTGTTTTTGATGGGCCCAGAGTGCTTTTATTTTATGGGGGTTTTATTTGTTGATATTGAAACTCAGAAAATTTTAAAACACAAGATGTACATATTTATTATCAGAGATGACATTATCTTGTATTATGTAGGCACCAAACAACTGTATTCTTTTGAGAGAATGTACGTGACCGGCAAAGGCATTGAATGTTACCAGGAGCATAGTGTGACCTCATGGTCTTCTCAAACCCGCTTTGAGAAGATCTTATAGGTCCTTGTAATTTATGGGACGGAATCTAGGATTTTTCTAAGCACATTAGGAGAGTCACAGAAAACTTTACACAGATAGAGGCAGGGGCTGCGTAGAGACACTGTGGCTTAGAGGTGTTGTCAGTGGGGATAGGGTGGGAGCACTGGAAATGAGAGTGGAGCTGTGTTGTGACAAAGAATGGAGAGGACTTACAGGATGGAAGTATAGGTGTGGAGAGCAGTGAGGTGTCACATGTCACTTCCAGTTCTTGAACAGCTGGGTGGATGAAGGGAGCATTTTCTAAGTAGGGAAAGGAGAGGAAGTACAGATTGGGGATATGCTAAGAGCTCCATTTTGACTGTGTTAAGTTCAGATTGCCTGCGCAGCCTGCAAGGGAAGGGGTCAGGTAGGCAGTTGGACATTTAAGTGGTACAGAGGGAAGTCTGACTTGACAGTAAACAAGAACCATCACCAAAGGAAGGTATTGAAGGTCATGTGTCTAAATGAGGTCATTAAGGAAAAGGTGTGGAGAACTAAGATTGAAAAGTCCATAGCTAAGGCTTTATGAGCCCTGGATTATCTCCCTGTAGTACAGGTACTGGACCCCACCTCAGGGTTGTGTAGGATCATCCTAGGAGCTGTGAGAATGCATGCTGTTCAGACCTTATGAACATGACTTGGTCAATAAGTACAGATTGTTTCTGGGGAGGTATCCAGAATTCATTTCTGTGATATGATCTTGTATCCTCAATATCCTTTTAGTCATAAAATGGCGCTGTTCTTTTCCAGCTGTGATGTCTCCTAGAATCTTATGACTAAAGGAGATGCTGTGTCTTTTTAGTTATCGGGGATAAGAAAACACAGAAAAAAAATGTTGGCTTCAGAAGCCTTTCCCTCCTAGGATGGTAGGACCACCCTACCTATGTTCACCTCTGGGCCATCTTGTGTTTGCTCATCTGTGTCCCCCACTCTGTGTCTGTAAGATCAGAGACTGTCCTTGCTGTCTCCAGACTTTAGTGCAGTGTTTTCATGAAGCAGGTTCTAGGTATAATTGGATGATGAATATGACAGGATATCTTTCTTTTTTTTTGTCTTTTTTTTGAGACAGGGTCTCCCAGTAGCCCCAGCTGGCCTGGAACATACTATGTAGACCAGGCTGGCCTTGAACTCACAGAGATCCACCTGCCTCTGCCTCCCAAGTGCTGGGATTAAAGGTATGCATCACCACACCCAGCTCCTATGAGAGACATGGGAAAGATGGGTGTGTGGGTGCATGATATGAGTTGATGTGCATACATGCTTATATAATTTAAGACTGCAGGATGGAAGAATGGATGGATGGTTGGTTGGGTGGATGGGAGGGAGGATAGCAGGATAATACACGGATGGAGAGCGAATGGAATATCGAATATAGGATGTATGGACGCATGAATATATGATTATGGAGGACAAGATAGATGGATGACTCCATCGGTCAAACAGAATTGGAGATGGATGGACGGATACAGGATGGATAGCAGAACAAAGAAAATGCCTGACACTGAACACAATGTTTTTCAATAAATTTCCATTGCCTTTACCTCTGCTTCCATTTTCAGAACCTCTCAGAGCCATGTGTTAGAGGACTGGTTTAGTCCAAAGCAGCCATGGCTTGGTGTATATTAGTTAGCTTCTGATCATTGTATCAAATTACCTGAGATAATTGACTTAAAAGGAGAAGAGGGGGGCTGGAGAGATGGCTCAGCAGTTAAGAACACTGGCTGTTCTTGCGGAAGACCCGGGTTCCAATCCCAGCACCCACATGACAGCTAACAACTGTCCGTAACTCCAGTTCCAGGGGATCCGACAGCCTCTTCTGTGAGCATTGCATGACACGGGTGCACTTACCTATGTGCAGGCAATACACACATACACATAAAATAATAAATTTTTAAAGAAAAAAGAAAAGAAGAAAAGGTTTCTTTTGACTCATGGCTTCAGAGGTTTCAGGCCATTTTTGGCTCCTCCACTTTGGGCCTATGATGAGGCAGAACACCGTGGTGGGAGGCCTGTGGTACAGTAGAGCTGCTCACCTCTGATGAGGTGATGGATAGGAAACAGAAAGACAAGAACGAGGGTCCCGACATATCAATCAAAGGTACACTACCAATGACCTAAGTCCTCCAAGTAGGCCCCGCCTGCTCAAGTCTACCACTCCCAGCAGCACCACAGGTCAAAGACCAAACATTTAGCACATGACCTTTTGGAGACATTTAAAATCCTGACCATAACATAGGTCTTCCCAACTTTGGCCTGCACAGGACTTGTGAGAAGGGGTACTGAAGGGATTTAGATCTGTTCCCAGGTGGATGGGAGGAGTGACAGCTACCTTTGTGAACCCTGAGCTCTGTGTAAGAGTCCTGAGGCAGGAACTGCCTTACATCTGGCCACAGCCACTCATTTGGGTCAGTAGCTCAGGGCTTGGAGATCTGGCCTGTCCACATTGGCTACAGCCTTCAGCAAGGAGAGCAAAGGCAATGTCAGTCATCAGAGCTCTAGGAGACCACAGGACTCTCCCCAGAGTTTTCTTAATAGTTTATTTCTCCTCCTCCCTCTCTTCCTCCTCCTCCCCCTCTTCCTCCTCCTCCCCCTAACCCGCCTTCTCCTTCTTCTCATGTATAACAGGCTAGCCTAGAACTCACTATGTAGCTCAAGGTGAATTTAAACCCCTGATCCTTCTGCTTCCACCTCCAGAGTGCTAGATCACAGGCATGCACCAGCACACCAGGTTTAGTGGTGCTAAGGATGGAACCCCTCAAGGCTTTGTGTATGCCAGGCTAGCACTCTACCAACTGAGCTACATCCCCAACCCCTTCATTGTTCAATAGGCCTATTAATTCTAGTGGTTCAATTAAAAAATAACCTTGCTCTTCATTTGGATATCATTGAATAATGACTGAGACTTTGTTCATACTGATTTTGTCTCAAGCCAAGCTGAGAAATTTTCAAATTTTCATGCCATTACAGGTGTCTTTAATAGGCTGTGCAGGCCTCCGACTTCATGGTATTACCCAAGTTCCTCCTTAGTTTAAACAAAAAACAACCTCTTAATTATATTGTATCCAGCGCTCAGCAGTGTGGGAAATTTCCAGCCTTTCTTCCCTTTTGTTGCCCCAGAGCTGAGAGGCTGGAGGAGGTGAGACTTCTCTACATTCTAACTTTGGGTTATTTATCTTCAGATCCTGCAAGGCCTTGTCGACGTCCGCATCCCTCATAACAACTTCTATCGGAAACGTAAGTGGCTCTGCTTCAGCTTGGAGCTCATTACGGTGAAGCATGGTGGCTGGCGACCTTGTAATTTGTAAACCTCTACAGCTTAGAATGTTTTCTGGGCCCCTGAAGAGAGGAAGTTGTGGGCTGGACTTGAAGATGCTTTGACTGCTGTGGTACCCACGAGTAGAACCCACACACACTCACCCTGTTTTTCTTTTCTGACAAGTATTTTTGGAAATTGTCAGCGAGAAGTCCAGATACTCTCTACATCAGAACATGGACAAGATCAAGGTCCCGACACAGATCATTTGGGGGAAACAAGACCAGGTATGTCACAGGGCCCTGTGGAAGAATGGCCTTATGATCCTTAAAGTGAGCCTCCCCGACGGGTTTCTGTTATCAGAAAGGGTGGCAGACACCTGTGTCAGGTACCAGTGTCTACCAGGTGCTCAGGGCCTATGAGCTGACAACAATGACATCTGGCTTTTCACAGGAAAAGGATTTCTTTTAGATAGGGTCTCACCTTGTAGCCCAAGCTGGCCTTGAATGGGAATTCTTCCTTCCTCCACCTCCCAAATTCTAGAACTACAGACCACCAGTGTGGACTGCTGGGCCTCATGCATGCTAAGCAATCACCCTACCTCTGAGCTGTACTCTGGGTCCTAATTTCTCTTAAAACCATTCTTATCTGCTGGGTACATGAACACAGACCTGTAGTTCCACTTCCTGGGAGGCTGAAGCAGGGTCTTCCATGAGCCTAGAAATTTGAAGGCAGTTTAGCAACATAGACACTGTTTATTTTTTTTAACAGTTGCTGGGCGTGGTAACACACGCCCTTAATCCCAGCACTTGGGAGGCAGAGGCAGGCTGATCTCTTGAGAGTTCAAGGCCAGCCTGATATGCATCGTGAGTTCCAGGTCAGCTGGGGCTACAGGGAGACCCTGTGTCAAAAAAGACTAAAAAAAAAACCATGTATCATGGTCATATTGTCGCATGTAGTTAAAGGATATACAAGAGTCTTATATTAAGGACTATTGTCAGTAAAGGATATTAAAAATGGACTTTTCTCTGACCTTGTTTTATATTGCTATGACAAAATGCCCAAGAGAGTAATTTATAAGGACTAGAGGTTTATGGGTTCATGGTTCCAGAGACTGGGAAGTCTAAGAACATCTGCTCAAAATGAGGAACTTCTGTTGTATTATAACATGGTAAAGAACAGCACATGGTGAGACAAAGCAAGGTGATAGGCAGAGCTGGCTTTTACACCAGAACCACTCCTGGGATGGTAAACCTACTACCACAATAGTGATGTTAATCCATGCCTGAGGGCAGTGCTCCTGTTGGTCTGTTGATCCATTAGGAGGGTAAAAGGGTAACATTTCCAACTCGTGTCTTTTGGGGAATACCTTCAAGCCATGGCACTCTCCCAAGTTCAAATTCACTATGGTGAGCCCCCTCTGGGTTGCTGAAAGCAAAACAGGACATCGGGCTGTATTTGGAGACCTATAGCACCTAGAGGAACTTGTGGGAGAAGCTGGGGTGTGCTTATAGTACATGCAGGGAAGTAGCCAGTGGTGTCTCAGGTTAGCCAAGGGTGACCAATGATGCACAGCACAGGGATGGTTACAGGGAAAGAAGGGAAGTCCACATTCTCCCTCCAGCTGCTCCCTTCTACAGCTGAGGAGCTGAAAGCAGCTTTGTGTGCCCTAAACAGGGAACAGGCTCTAGGAGATTGGCCAGCAAAAACTCAATCAGAACAACAAAGGCCATTCTTGGTTGTAAAAATTCCCAAAGTAATGCTGGCCTCTTGGAGACCCGCAGGGAGAGACCATAGCCCATTGTCCCAGGGAGACTGATGAGCAAAAGAAACAGGAGTGCTGGCCTGGGAATGTGCGTTCCAGCCCTGCCTTTGCGCTTCCTCACTCAGCCTGTGACCTTGAGCAAGCCCCCAGCCTCTCTAAGTCAAGGTGTCTCTTCTACTGCTGGGGTAATTGTGAGACTCAAGTGCAGTGACTTCAGTGAAAGTGATCTTTTTTCCACTTATCAAAACACAAGTGACTTATTCCCCGTGTCCTTTGCCTCAGCTCATGGTCAAGATTTTCCTCCTAGACTCTGAAATTCATTTTGTTGCAAGGACATAGTCTAACATCCTATGGGGGAGCTACAAATGTGACGAGATCTTTTGTGTTCTGCGGACCATCCCGAGGGCATATGCCAAAAAGCAGAGGCTTAAAGGGGTTCTTTGTTTTATGACCCTTTGTTTCCCAAGCTCCCCAGCTCTTTTCCTGCTGTGCCATCAGCATTTGCTGTCACAGCACCTGGACTTGTCAGGCTGAATTCAGCCTTCCTCTTTTTTGGACCCCAGTAGGCTAGCAGAGATACAGGGAGCAGGGGGGTGTGTTGTCAGTGGTATGATGTGCCTGGATGTGATCATATGCCTGAGCTCTTCCTGAGATGGCTCCTATATACCAAGTCAAGAAACCTCTGCAGCATTCTCCCCTTGAATTTCCTTGTTGGACCTTCCTACAACTGGGCTACCGTACTCCAACACAGAGCCAGCTCCTCAAACCATTCCCCTTAACACAGTCCCAGGATTCCCCAAGTCCTCAGGCTGTAGTAGGGCTGCACATGGTGGAGTGCTTGCCTAGTATACACAAGGCCCTGGATTCCATCCCCAGTGCTACGTAAAACTGGATGTAGTGGCCAAGGCGAGTCATGAGTGGATGAGTGGCCTGCCTTCTGCTCCAGCATGCCCTTCCCCACTGACTGCACCCTTTCTCTCAACTACCTTGCCAACCCCTGAACTTGCTATGACCCACATGCTCCTCCCCTTTCTGTGAAGACTTCCAACTTCCCTCTGTTGTCTCAGTACTCAGGAGTGATGTCTTCCCTTTCTCTGCTCCTCCTGTCTCATCAGCTCCTAGGATCCTCTGCAGAGCACCGTGCCCTGTTACATGGTACCACATTCACCCCAGTGTGTCTGGCTTCCCCTTAACCTTGCAGACAGTAACTTCGTCTTTTCCACCTCATTCTCCCTGGCAGTGGTGCACTTCTATACCAAGTTTCAGAATCAAACATGCTGGTGGCTTCCATTTACCCCACCTCCCTGACCCCTGCCAGGTCACAGGAGTGCAGTAGCGCATCTAAATCTTTGTGTGTTGTCTCTTTCCCTGTCTTCTGGGCAGGTGCTTGATGTGTCTGGGGCAGATATATTGGCCAAGTCAATTGCTACCTGTCAGGTAGAGCTTCTGGAAAACTGTGGGCACTCGGTGGTGATGGAGAGACCACGAAAGACAGCCAAGCTCATCCTTGACTTTTTAGCATCTGTGCACAACACAGACAACAGTAAGAAGCTGAACTGAGGCTGCTGCCGCTGCCTGCATTCTGCACACGGCATCCATTCCCATCCCCGAAACCTGACGCAGCCACCACTCTCAGGAATCCTGCCCCATTGCGGTTGGAGCGCCACTGTCCCTGAGGAAGCCAGTCTCTTATTCCCAGTATTCCCAGTTCCACAGAGCTTCAGGGACCACAAAGAAATCTCCAAGATCTTTTCTTTTCCCCACAAAATAGAAACCTAAATGGAACAAAATAAGAAAACTCAGCCGTGAAACTACCAAGAAGTCTTCAAGTTCATGTTGACAAAATTGTGCTAAGCGGCCACCATGGACTATAATTGTCAAGGATGTTTTCTTTAAGGTATTCCTCACATGTTAGACTTGAGCTGTTTTTGTGTTGCTTCCGATGTATCCCCTGCATGGTCAGTGGCTTCGGTAGGAGCTTTAGTCGTTTCCTGAACTCTCTTTAGGTCTAATTCAAATTTTGCAGAGATGACCCATGTTTGAATGCAGCCCATCAGCTGAAAGACCAAGGAGGAAAATGGGAAGTTGTTGAAGAGATTTCTACCACTGGGCCTGGTGGATAGGCCTATATATAATCCCAGCCACTTGGGAGACTGAGGCAGGAGATCATGAGTTCAAGGCCTGCCTAAGCTACAGAGTGAAATCAAGGCCAGCCTGGGCAACTTAGTGAGACAGTGTCTCAAATAAGAAAAGAGAAAATGTTTGTACGTATTTTTAGATATAGAAACCTATGTGGAGAGGCGCTGCTCTGCCACAGCCAGCCCTCAGAACTGCCCACATGGCAGAACACTCAGTTTGGTGGCGTTTTCTGCACCTACAAATCAGGTCTGTCGTGAGTGAATCCAGAAAAGTTGCAGACTGAAGGACACCTGGCATGGTGGGTTTCCTAGGAATAATTTATAATTAAAAAAATAGGACTAATAAAGCAATAATGTTTTAGACATCTATCTAATCAGACTCAAGTTCCACACCCAAGCAGCCTGTGGGCATCTTTTCTATTTTGCTGTGCTACTGAAAACCCTTGGATGTAAAATACTATTTTGTTAATGAATTCTGTGAATTCTGTGAACAATAACGTGATTGAAAATAAGTCTAAACAGCTGTAGAAGTGACCACAATAATGTGAAATAAATTTAATAAGTCTAAGCTGGCAACACATAAGTGATTTTTGTTTTTGAGCTCCTAATTATGTGATTTGTCAGTTTACAGTAAAATGTGTTTATTTAGGATATTCTAGTTTCTTTTCAGATGGTATAAATCTTTTGCCTTTTACTAAAATGTGTTTATTTGGGGCTGGAGAGATGGCTCAGCGGTTAAGAGCACTGGTTGCTCTTGCAGAGGACCTGGGTTTGGGTCCCAGCACCCACATGGAGGCTACCAACCATCCTTAACTCCAGTTCTAGAGTCCCTCTTCTGGCCTTTGCAGGCATTGTGTGACTCAGGTTAGGTTACATGCTGGCAAAACATTCATACATGTAAAATAAAATCAAATCTATTTGGAGGAAGTGAGTGTGTGTGAGTGTGCACATGTGTGCGTGAGGAGCCCAGAGGTCAGCATGTCTTCCTGGGTCATTCTTTACCTTATTTTTTGAGACAGGCTCTCATCTAGAGTAGCCAGCAAGCCCCAGAAATCTTCCTATCACTGCCTGCCCAACACTAGCTGGCTTTTTATTTATTTTTATTATTTTGATACAGTCTCACTATGTACCTCTGGCTGGCCGAGAACTCAAAATACAGACCAGGCTAGCCTTGAACTCGAGAGATCCACCTGCCTCTGTCTCCTGAGTGCTGGGATTAAAGACAGGAGCCACCATACCCAGCCTGTACCCTGCTTTTTACATGAGTGCTGGAGATCCAAACTCAGGTCCTCAAGCTTGTGCAGCGAGCACTTGACTGTCTGAGCCATCTTCCCAGCTCCTAAAATGTGTTTTGGGGTTGTTTGGTCTTTTTGAGACAGGATCTCCCTGTAGCCCCAACTGGCCTGAAACTTGCTATGTAAACTAGGCTGGCCTTGAACTCACAGAGATATATACCTGCCTCTACCTCCCAAGTGCAAGGATTAAGGCATGCGCCACCTCGCCCGACCTAAAATGTATTTTTTAAAGTAACTGATGTTATCTATGAAAAGCAGAGTCCTTACATCGTTCCTTCCACTTGCAGACCCAAGGAGGACCCAAGGAGTTTTATTCTCTCATCTATCTTTTCACAAAGAATCTACAGCTAGGTCATTCAGAAAATAAAATGAGCTGAACTTTATAGTTCATAGTTTAAAGGGAAACTTGTGATGTGGGGTTTTTGTTCGTTTGTGGTTGTTTGTTTTGCCTTTTGTATTTTTTTTTGAGATAGGGTCTCCCTATAGCCCCAACTTTCCTAGAACTCACTATGTAGACCAGGCTGGCCTTGATCTCACAGAGATCTGCTTGACTCTGTCTCCTGAGTGCTGAGATTAAAGGTATGTTACACTCATCTTTTTTTTTTTTTTCAATTAAAACATTTTATGCGTATGGGTGTTTTGCCTGCCTGAATGTAAGTGCACCTGTTCATGCAATGCCTAGAGCTGCCAGTGCTTTTGACACTGAGCCATCTCTCCAGCCCTTGTGATGTAGTTAGAATAATTCCTCAGAGAAGAATGGAACATAAATCTTAAAAACAAGAAGCTATAAAAAGGTGACACCGGACTCTGAGATGTGGCTAAAGCAACAATCAGGAAATTTACAGGTGCATACATTGGAAAAGAAGGGCTGGAGAGGTGGCTCAGCAGTTAAGAGAACTGGAGGGGACCTGGGTTCAATTCCTAGCACCCACATGGCAGCTAGCAACTATTCCTAACTCCAGTTCCAGGGGACCCAATGCTCTCTTCTGACCTCCATGGGCACTGCATGACACTAGTGCACTTACAGACAGGCAGGCAATATACTCATACATATAAAATAAAATAATTTTTTAAAAGAAAGAAAAGGCTGAAAATGAATAAATTAACCTTCCATCTCAGAAAACTAGGAAATAGTAAATCAAAACAGTGAAACAAGGAAGTAACACAACCAAAAATAAAATTCAACAGATTCTCTTCTGTATTTAAAAGAAAGAAGTGGATATTTTACTTAGCCTAATGTCCTATATTTACCAAGAATTCTGAGTTTCTTGGGAGAGGTTTAAGTAAATCTTGATGGGTCTGGGTGGTGAGAGATGTTTTCCTGTGAATCACTATAAAGGGGCCCTAGACCTGGGGATCATTTTTGGATCAGCAGCCTTTCTTATGGTCTGGGTTGATCCTGCTGAGGACTCCATCAAAAGGAGCCTCTAGAAGCCAGGTGTAGTGGTATATATTCACATCCTTGCACTTAGGAAGAGGCTATAGTAAGACTGTCTCAAAATCCCAAAACAGAGAACATGAGGTTGTTTAATTTTATAAATTAAGAAGTAGGTGTTGAAGGTTCTCCAGTGGCTCTCCTATGCTGGGAAGTCCATTGTAAGCTACTTCTTACCTCTGTAATTATAAGCCTGCTGGTTACAGCCAGCTAGCTTCCCCCACACCGGATCTTACTGGGCTCCATGACTTTGATGCTACAGTCTTAAAAAAAAAAAAAAAAATCATCATAGCCCTTTCTGAAAAACTGCCAAAAACTTCTAGAATAAAAATGGAAAGCCCGGGGGCTGGAGAGATGGCTCAATGGTTAAGAACACTGGTTGTTCTTGCAGAAGACCCATGTCCGTGTAACTACAGTTCCAGGGGATCTGATGGCCTCTTCTGTCCTCGCAGGCATTGCATGACATGGGTGCACTTACCTACATGCAGGCAATACACTTATATACATAAAATAAAAATAATAAATTTTTTTTAAAAAAAGAAAGCCCTAGTAGGCTCAGTCCCATTGCTTGGAGTTGGGACCTTCAGGGCAGCTGTAGATGGACAAGAATTGAAGAGGCTGGGGGACAAGCCATCAGTCTGGGCTTCTTGTCCAGGATGACACCAGGAGCGGCTGGTGGACCGTGTGCCAGCTTGGTGCTACCTGTTCACATCTGTGTCTTCCACTTGATTTCCTGTGAGGTCTCTGTCTCCCAGGGAACCATGCCTGTTGCGCTGCCTGAAAGAAGTTTCCAGAAAATACCAGGGGATTGGAATGCATACCCTGGCAGGGCTGAAGGACTGAACTCACTGTATTTCCCACTCTTGTTTTTCTATGCCCCTCTTGGTGTCAGGCACACACAAGCACAGGCAGTTACCACTGGAAACCTGACTCTTAGGAGCCATCATCTTGCATCTCTCCCAAAGTTCCCCTTTAGTCACAGACTAGATTTTCTTGACAGCTGTTAGGAGACTGAAATCAGAAGGTGTTTTGGAGGGGCGGGAATGAATAGTCATAGATGGGGCAGTGGTGATGACATCATTACCTGCAGAGGTCAGGAGCAGAGGGGTTAGTGCAGTGCTTGGGCTACTTTTCCAGATCTCTGCTGCCCCAGGGCTTTGTGGTTCAGTGTTCAGTGTCATTGCTGTTCTGTAAGCTAGTAACAACCAGGGTGTGGGCCTGAGACCTCCTGTGTCTGTGGTGGGAACAAGGGTCTTGAGTGACTATCATTGGTCAGAGAAGGAAAGGACATCTGGCTGATGGGCTGTCTTTGCTCTAAGATTGTGGAGGACCCATCCCTTCCTGAGTTTCTGGATCTTTGGTCTCTAAACTATCAAGGCAATGAACCTTAGGCTATAGAGCTCCAGCAGGCAACAGGACAGTGAAGGATTCTGGCAATTCAGTGACCCAAGGCGAAAGCTGGGTGGGGCATATGACCGTCGCCAGTTGAAGCACAGCTCGTGGAGAGTTGCTGAGCCTAACATAAGCCAAGTTCGGTAACATCAAGACTCTCGGGGACAGATGTGACTTGAATTCAGAACTATTCCCATTTAAAGGATTGTGGCACCACGTCTTACATAACTCCATGCGTGAGCAAATGAATGCATCCATGTTTCTGCTGTGCCGTGTGTGTGGCCACAGTAAATTGGAAAAAAGCTTTAACAAACCTTCCCTTCACATTAAGCATTAGTGCCAGGTAAAGGAGATTGTTCCACTTTTTTAAGATAACAGAGTTACAGACAAAGGATGCAAGCTTGTGTTCCAGGCTCCAGCGCTTCCGTCGGGGAGTGGGGGCACACTGAGGAAGACAGTCCTGGGAGCGCGCATGAAGGAACAGCCTGCACGTGGGTGTGCTCCACAGCTCCCTCTTGTGTCTAGCCTTCGTAGCTGCACTTGATAGTTCATTTGGTTTTGAATGTTTAAAAAATGATGCTGTCATTTCAAAATAAATGTTTTAAATGCTAAGAAGACGGTCTTCTATCCTCCTGCACACTCACCCTCCCTCCATCAATTTTCTGGAATGTCTGTGTACTTACATATACATACCTATACACAGAGAGGGCCCTGCAGGTGATGGTGTGGGGGCGGGGGAGGTTGGTTTGACAATAAACGGAGCCATGCTGGATTTTCTTGCTGCTCCCTCCTCACACCCCTTGCCTACCTGTATGCCTTGGGACTCTTCTAGATCCAAACCAAAGATCCCCGGGTTCCTGGAAAGGCAGTGCAAAGTTCTCCAGAGAATGTAGGAATGCCTGGGAACCCCTAGGAAAGCACCTGAAAATTAAGAAATAATCTAGCCAGGCACAGTAGCTACCCAGCTACTTTGGAGGTTGAAGCAGAGGATGATAAACTAGAGGGCCCAGCCTGGACAATGTAGTGCCATCCTCTCTCAAAACAGAAGAGCTAAAGATGCTCAGTGGCAGAGCACTTGTCTAGCATGTGTGAGACTGTGTTCAACCCAGAGTTTTTTTTTTTTTTTTTAAAAAGATCCAAGACCCCTCCAGAAGTAATCCACTTAATTACAGAGCGGTTAGATTCTCCTTTACTGAGGTCTGGAGGGTTGTTTTTGCTTTTCTTTTGTAGGAGAGAGATTTCTAAGACACATCATTTAAATGCTTTCAGCAAAGCCGGCTGAGACACGGTCAAAGTGTCTGGCTGTGGTGCCAGCTGGCACATGACAAGGGAATGGTTCAGATGGTAGGAGACAGAGGGGAGGGCACTGAGGCAGAGACTAAGCCACACTGCTGCTCCCTGGGTCGTGGAGGTGTTTGGAACTGTGGTCCAGGCCAGAGCTTCCAGTGTT